CATTAGATACAAAATGCAATCATTTGAAGATTTAAAAAGTTAAGCTTTATTCAACAAGGAGAGAGCCTACTCAAAAATATTTTTCATCAATGAAAAAGCCTCGTAAAATAAACACTGCGTTTGGGATAGATGCAAAATAAAGCAACCCATCTTACGCAGCATATCTGAATGTAACCAAGATGCAGGAGAGTGTGGGATCCTTCAAACAATGAGACACTAAGGAAAAAAGTAAAGTGCCAACACATATAATGCCAACAAAGTACTGCCAGACTACAGACTAGATCCATAAATTTATTTATTTATAAATAAATAGATACTTGAGTGTTGCTATGCTGAGTACTGCAACCCCTAATTTGGGGGCTCCAGGCCACTAAAATGGCATTCCAAATTCTGAATTACTACAGTTTTTTAGCAATTACTGTGAAATGCAAAATACAGAAACACTCCTGAAAAGAGGGACCAGAATTGAAGTCTCACTCCTCCCAGACAAATGCACTCAAGTAACCATTAGTACTTTCTGCCGGCAGGCCAGAATGGCCCAGCTCAGGTCCAAGGCAGGCTTGTGACAGAACCTGGCAGCCGCTACTGGTTTTCCCTGACACCAAGCTGCAGTGCAGCACAGTTAAACCCCTCTGCTGCCAAACACCCCAAAGCTCTTGCTCTGTTGGAAGGATCTGCAGGCCACCACAGACTGCCAACCCTGCTTTAGATCATGGATGTTTTTTCTCTGTGGCCCAATGAATCTTTTCAATGTTTTTTCTGTACAGTAGAACAGGTTGACAAAAGGATGAAGAATATGCCCGTGGAAAATTGCCTAACCTAGTGGTTAGGGTACTCCTCAGAGTGCTGGGTTGGATACCCCACAGGTGGCAGGAGCAGCCTGAACCATTTTCAACATTTTAAGTGAATACTGCTGCTTCCACCAATCTTTTAAAAGAAAGCAGGAGTCTCCAGGTTTTGGTTTGTTGGGTTTTTTTTTCCTGAAACCCAATCCTGTATGCAAGTATTACACATACCCTGAGAATGCCTATCAAATCAAGCCCACAGGTAGCCTTAGAAAGACTTACATCTAGTGTATGTATCCCAACAAGTTTAGGCACAAAATTGTCTTTGGGCATGAAAAGCAGCAGAACTTATTAAGGTGCCTGGGAACCTTCAGATAAAAGTGCACTATGGAGTTTAAGCACCCGACGACCATGGTTAAGCAGCACCTAAGCAGCTTTCACTTTTAGACTTAAGCATCTGAATCCCACTTTAGGCACCCAAATCATTTTTAGACCTGGCCCGAGACATTATGGGTAGCCAATGCAACAATCTTCAGCTCTTATTACCTACCACCAGTTTATTAAATTGAGAGGTCAATGACCATAGCTACTGGTTACAACGATGCAAAAAACAAGAGGGACAATAGGGAAAAAAACTGTTTTGTGGTCTCCTTGTACCACTGTTATTCTGCACCTGTATAATATGCCTATTACCAGCGTATGGGAAAACCTGTAGTGGTATATAGTGCCTTTTCTTGTATTAGGAAGTCTTCAGAGTAAAATGTCTCAGAAAACATAGGATTGCAACAAAAAATATTTAGGGAAAAATACAAGAAATAAGCATTTTTTAAAAGGTCATTACGGAAGAGGATTCTGATATACAGCAGTTATTAATTGTTAGGAAATACAGTAGTAACTGTAGCAGTACAGTTTAAATAGCTTATACAGGCAACCCCCGCTTAGTGCTCTTAATTGGTTCCTGAAAAATGGAGCATTAAGCAAAACTCAAGATTTGACAACCCAAGATGGTGACTGCAATTGTTTTTAATGACTCAAGATGGTGACTGTGAGTGTTATAAAGAAACTCGCTAAGTGAAATCAGGTATCAATTTCAAGTAAGCATTATAGAGAAATAGCGCTAAGTGGAACAGCATTAAGCAGGGTTGCCTGTTGTGTTAAATCCACAAGGTGTCATGCATAACAGAATTTCTAATCCATGCATGTGACATCTGACCACCATGATTTGTTACACCCATGAATTAAAAAGCTTTAAAGATATTCAGATTCACCGCATTAAGATAAAAAAAATGAGGGGACTATATAGTGTTCATGATCATTTTGACACTGATTTGGTAAACAGATGTGCCAGCACAGTCCCATTTACTAAAGCATACATCTGTTTTGACAAGTGAGGCTTTACGGCTTATCTATCTTTAGTGAAAAGAAAGAATAATTGTGCAATGTGCTGCAATATGAAATGGCAGGGTTGTCATTTCAAGACTTCAGATAAAGTTTTAGAATTAAATGCAACTGTGAACATTTCTTTTTACAGTTTATCTGCATTTAGTTCACGGTTTCTGCACTAAAATTTAAATACATTTACAAATAAATGAAATAAAGATTCCATTACAGTTGTGAGGTAGTTAAAAGCTTGTGCTCGGTAGCTGTGAACAAGAATGTACATGCAAGAGGGAAGAAATCAAAAGAAAATGAATTAATTCTAATCCTAGGACTCTCCCAAACCAAACCAATTATGTTATTAACTGGTGAACACTTTATTGAAGCCATAGCAACATCCCAGAGCCCAAATGATAGGCACCTAATTTTATCATAGCAGTTTTAGTCATCTGAGCAAGTGAGCGTTTACTAGAAATAGATCATAATTCATAATATATTAAAAAGTTTTAAGTAGCACAAGAAAGAGTGGAGAGCCAAGTTACAGTCAGATTTGGACAACTGTAAGAGTCAGGAAACATGGCTTTCTCACCTCTTCCCATCTTCTATAGAGGCTATAGGAGCCTAGTTACTAAACATTCAATCAGCATAGGCTTTCATGACACCCTTTTACCCAAGAACAAATACCTAATCTTATCAGATTATGTAAAACTAAGGGCTGATTTCCTGGCGAATTTATCATCAGAATGATACCACTATAAAAACCCTGTGTATCTATACAGATCATCTGGAATACAAGTTTCCACACTAGGCATTACATCAGTATGGTTCTCCCAGTAAATTTCCTTCTATAGACAAGCTCTAACATAATTTATTATTTTAGACTAGACTATTTTGGATTACTTACCTTTAGAATGCCACTTTTTTTTTTGTTTTTTTAAACATGAGGTTGGCATAATGTGAAGTTTATAATTGTCACACCTCTCTATCCGACCCCAAAATATAATCACTCTATCACAATAAAATTATTTTAAAATTTCAAAACATGCCATTTCTTAGTTTTAAAAAATTTAAAATTAAATCAGCTAATCAGGGAAAGATAAATACAAAATGCATCAGGTCTGATTTTCTGTCAATCCAGTACTGTTAATCCAAAATACCTTAATCCACTATAGTTACACGTGCCACCACCAGGCTCAGAAGGATCAGCACTGCCTGTTTAATGGGTGGAATCTGAATTTTCCCTTGTGCACAGAACGTCCCACATCACTTCCTCACACACGCAGAGGGGAAAAAGAATTCAAGCATCTCACAGTGGGGACAAAAGCCAGAATGATTTAGGCCCCAATCCTGCAAGATGCTCTAGGGAAACAGACTCCTATGCCCACATAGAGCACAGCTGAACTCACTGGGGGTCTGTGCACCTCGAGGAATCGGCTTGTGCGGAGATGCCTTTAGAAAGGTTTGTACATGGATACAATTGCCAGCAGCTCCAAGGTGCACCCACTAGATGCAAGGGAAAGCACGAGACTGTAGGCAGGCTGCCATCCCCTCCTAAGCCCGGCACATCTGAAAACACTGCCATTTCTTTACAGCCAATAAGGAGGTTTTTAAGCAGACTTCATAGAGAAGTCAGGCTGGAAGGGACCTTTAGACATTGGGCATGTCTACACGTGTGCTTTAATGTGTATTCACCTATTTTAATGTGCATTAAAGCGTCACAAAAAACCTGTACTCTTTAGCTAGTGCGCATTAAAATAGGCTAACATGTTTTTCTAGTACCTCACAATGGAGATACTAGATTTAACATGCACGAACTAAAGTGCATTAATTGAATGTGTAGATGTGCCTAGATCAAACCCTGCCTGAGGTAGGATCATCTCTATTCAAACCATCCTATACAAGCCACTAGGGCTGGCAAGCCAGTCAACTGACTGGTCAATTGACTGCGTATTTTTTGACAGGTCAAAGTTTATAACAGTTTTATGGGGAGCAAATATATATATTTTGCAGCTTTCTTGACAGACACATTTTTTTAATTGTTTTTTGACACATTTCTTAATGGAAATTTTTTTGCTTTTTCTGTGTATTATCTAGCTATAGTGGCTATTTTTTAAAAACATTTTTTAACTGTTATTTGACCCATCAAATACTCCACCCTACAATCCATCATCTAAAAGGGAGGTTGGAGATATTTTTGGGCAGAGTTCCAAAAACGCCTGCAACCTCAATTTGCAAGATGTTGGCGTGCCAGGAGCGGATGGCAAGGGAGGCGCAAGGGGCAGCGCAGCCCGGGCTCCTTCCTTCCCCACTGTCTGTCCCAAAGCACAGTGCCAAGTAAAATGCCTTCTTGTGCCACGCTCTGGGGGCTGCCTACCCCGATCTTAAAACTCTTCATAAAACTGGAGTCAACTCGGACCTAACACAAGATATAACACCCTACCCTGCCACCGGGCAGCCTGTATCCTGCTTGTATAAAAAGGCTGTGCTCAGCTGCAGGCTGCTTCTCCACGGAGTTCTGCAAAGTAGCAGCTGGGGGGTTTCTTGGGGGGGGTGGGTTTCAGAGGGACACGGACAAGGATGCTACAACAGGGAGGGGCATTTTTGGATCAAACAGGGGGACCTGAAGGGACAGGTTGAGCCGATGCGACCAGCACTGAGGTCTGCAGAGAAAAGACAGCAGAGCGCGGAGGCGCCGAAGTTCGCTGGCTGGGCGGGGAGGAGGAGGGAGCTCCCGGGATTGGGCCCGGGGCAGCGCCCAGCGAAGGCGCCGCGGGAGAAGGCGGCCCCGCGCAGGGGCAGGGCAGAGGCACGGCCGCGATCCCCCTCCTCGCCCCTCACCTGTGAGGCGCAGGCGGGTCTCGGGGCCGGTGGGGGGAGGCTCGTCCTGCTCCCGCTCCGCAGCCGCGCTCCTAGTTTTCTTCACGACCGGCGGCGCCGGGGCCGAGTGTCTCCGGCTCCCGGCCCAGCTCTTCCGCTTCATGGCGGAGGCGGCACCGCTACGGTGGGTACGAGGCGGCAGGACTCATCCCCCCAGCGGGGCCCGGCTGGGCCGGCGGGGGGGGGATCCCAGCCCGGGGCGGCGGAGGCGGAGGCTGCTCCCGCCCTGTCTGGTCCCGTCCAGTCTTTTCCCCCCCGGCGCTCGGCCAGCTCCGGCGTTCGGGACACCCACTGCCCCCTCCGCTGCCTCTGATTGGGCCGGGGCGGTGTGACGTCACAAACAGGGCCCAGTGGGTAAAGTGATGTCATAGTAGGGAACAGAACAGGTGTGTTGGGCGGAGGGGTGCCCTTGGAAACCCCGTTCTTCCCCGTGCCCCCGTAGCGGAGGTGTCTGCCCCGCGAAGGGGTGTCACAAGTGGCAGGGGCAGCCCAGGAGGCAGGGAGAAGGGGAGCGGGGTGGCTCCCCGCTGGGGCCTCTCTGACATGGTTGGCCCCCGACCCCTAGCACATAAGCCCACACAACGACCCTGTATGCATAGGCTCCGTGCCCCTTCCTGTGTCTCCTTGCGTGGCCCCAACACAGGGAACCTATCGAGCACTTATCTGCCCCCATACACACCCACCCCCTGTTATTGTGTGCTGTTGCCGTGCTAGTACTGCCTACAGGCTCCGAGTCATATTCAAAGCCTGATAGTACGCGCTGTTTCCCTTCACTATCATAAACGTAACTCGCACGTTTAGGCAGGCAAGGTTTTTTGAGTAGATGTGATGTCTTTTATTAGACCAACTGAGTTTACTTTGAGTAGATGTGATGTCTTTTATTACCCCAGCTGAGTTTACTCGGTTGGTCTAATAAAAGACATCACATCTGTTCAAAGAACCTTGCCTGTCTACATCCTGAGATTGACCCAGCTACAACCAAAAACCCTGCTCGACATCTATTCCCGCTCTCCCAGCGCCAGTCCAACCCTGCAAACACCTGATATATTCTATTTCCTTACATATATATAACAACATACATTTCACAGATGCCCAATACACAAATGAATGTAGTATCTCTGTGTTCTTCCCCACATATTCCTATTCATTTCCAAATGCATTACAGACCTAAAAGACTCAAGACACCTAGGTCTGTTATAGACCTAACAGACACAAGACACACAAGTTTGAAGGCACAAGGACCAACATGTTAGGTGTTTCTTCCCTGGTCCAACAGTGGTCTGCTTTGTGACTCATGCTCTCCCATGAGACCACATTACAAACAAACAAATGTAATAAATAATAGTAATCAGTTAATAATAGACCTATCTACTTGCTCACTCGCACAAAAAATGAATTTATCCTCTCTTCTTAAAGTATCCAAATGTATAGCAAAGGGTTACAAATAAAATCACAGACTACACATGAAACATCACTGCGATATAACCACTACAGGGGTGTACAGTGCAAGACAACCGGAACGTAATCTATCCAGCGACAACGTAGGTCTCATGGAAAGGTCTGAAATACCTATTCCTATATAAAGTTGTCTTCATTGGAGCAGAATATTTCAGATGCATTTTTGTAGTAATGATTGTGTGTGCGTTTGCTGCTGTATGTTACAAGCAAGCAATTCAATTAAAAATAGTTTAATGTTGTTATTTTTAGGCATCACACACTGAGGTGCTCATTTAAAACTGGTAGTTAAATAAGTCCAAAGCAGAGTTAGGTAATTAAAAGTTAGCTTTTGAAAAAAACATTTTTTTTTGCCTCTCAGAATCTCCAGAAATATCCACGGACCATGGCAGAAGTTAATAAACACTCTTATTGAGAGTGTTCTGCCATCTGCTGGGTATGAGATCAGTGATTATCCCCTGCTGCTTTTTTTGCTGTTGACTACATCATTTTTAGATTAATATTTTTAAAAAATAAAAGTTAAAACAAATTGCATAAGAGACATGATTATAATGACACCATGTGAAATGTTTCTCATTAGTGGTACCATGGGCCCAGTCTAGCAGTTCATTATGCATGGGTAGATTGCTGTGCAGCACAGAGTTCCAAATAAGTCAGTGAGATTGCCTGTGGATGGTGTAGTTGACCTACATGTAAAATGACAGAATTGATACCTTCATTAAGGAATGTCTTTCTCTTATTGGGTCTCTTTCTCTCTCCCCCATACCCCTTTTCTCCATTTCTTCTTTTTATTTGGTTGGTTTTTTTCTATATTATTTTAGAATTTCCATTGTATCTGGAATGTTGCTGTATTATTTTAGAATTCTAGTTTTATTTTGGAATTTTTAAATGTGAAATATTACAACTATTTTTCTTTCCACAGAGCTACATGCTAGATCCACCCTGCATATCAGAGACCTGGCTTTGGTTTCTCCAGGCCAGGAAGGTGTGGAAGCATTTTGTATCATACTGTAATAACATACTTGGCTGATGTAAAAGCAAGAATTATGTGTTTCAGAAGTAAGGTTGCTGCATTTTATCTTACCAAACACTATTGGGACTACCCTTGCTTCTTCTACACAATCACTACTTGACACTGAACTGTACCCTGTTGCTGTTGACTTCCTTCTGTTGGTGTGGAGATGGTTTTGTCTTGTTGGCATCTTTTTTTGAATCTGGCAGCTCTTTTTCTTCTTATATCAGTTCCAGTTTCTCACTTTCCTTGATAATCTCTCCCTACTTCAAAACCCTTTCCTTCCATACCCTTCTAATATATTTTTTCTTTGTCCTTCCAAGTAAATGGAAGGCCAGTCAAAAGACTTGTAAGTACAGGAGAGGCAAACTAGCTGTGGGGGGAGTCTGGGCAGCACTTTTATATCACTGGGAGAATTTGGATGGGACATCTAATGAGGAAATGTATAATTTGGGGAAATGGGATGGAAACTACGAGATCAAATACAGTACACCTTTTGAAAATCAGGGAGGTGACAACCTCATTCAAAGTGAGTTTTTATCCAGCTTCTTTCTCACCTTTGTGTGAAAGAATGCACAAATGACAGAATTTAGGCTATTAACCTGTCTGCCTCCACACATCGTGTAGTTAGATTTGCAAACGCTGCAACTGACTGGAGGCACAAAATTAGAAGTTATAGCTAACCCCTAATGCATTTGTTACTGTAATGATTATTACATTGAACTTCAACTCTGCTTTTAAATCTATGGTTTCTTCCTCTGAGGGTCAAACAGACATTTCTAATCATAATTGATTTCTTAGAGAAATCCAGAAATTGAATTAATGATGCTGTACAGAAGTTAATAAAAAAGCGGTTTGTTCATAGTCCATGAGATTCTCAAGACATTAATAATGGGCTCTTGAGCCAGTCACCTCTAGATCATGGGAGGGTTCTGGCCCATTTCAGTAGTGAACAACATTTTTTTGATGGTAGCTTGTTCTTTTTATTGAAAGCAATGAGTTGTGATATTTCACTTCCTGGTAAACAGATGCCTGTGTAATAAGCCACTGCTGTAATGGGCACTGGCTTCTTAGTAGTAGGGAAGCCAAGGACTGTATGAACATGCAGCGCCTTGAGAAGCAGAGCTTACTGGTCAGCATGCAGTTTTGCACTACTGCTGCTATTTTGTTTCAGTTCTGGAGCTAGCACCACAGCAAGCATGGCATGACTCAGCATGGCACTACCTTACCATGTGGACATACTGAGAGACTGACTGATGGTAGAGCAACCAGGATGCTGAGGTGTAGGCCAAAGTCTAAGAAGCAGTGGCTGCAGATCCGGAGTGTCTTCACCAGTGTATTTCCAGATCTGGAGTGTGCATGTGGTGCAGCTATGCTTGGGAATTGCTCAGACAGAACGTGCCACTACCACAGGGTTGACATACCCTAAGGTCCAAACAAGGATTAAATGGCATTGATAGGCTAGCATAAGGATTTTGGCCATTGCTGTTGCCCATATCATAACCTGTTAGAATAGATTACTTCCATCTCCTGAACTGTCAATAATATCTTTCACAAGCCCTACATTTGTTTTAAAGGTACAGTATCCACCTAAATAGAGGTAAAAATTAATTATTTGTAAAGTTGAACCTAAGACTAATACAAATATTTCCATATTTTTAACATAATTTCATTGTAGGTAGGCGTTTAACAGAACATAACACTCCCTTACAGTGTTTGAAAACTTGCAGTTTTAAGAATCCAAAAATGAAATGAGACTAAAACAAAAGTGAAACTAAACCCTGTTTCATCGTAATGGTGATAACACAAAAAGTAAACAGAAAGCAGAAAAAGTGACAAGTAAATTAGATACTGAATATGGCTTCCCCAAATACTAAAATATTAATTGTGACACAGACAAGGGTATATTTGTATAGCATACATGAGAACTAATTCCTGGGTCTGAAACAGCTGCTTTTTTATATCCTGACAACATAAAGCAGCTGAAAACCCAGTATAACTAGTCCTATCAGAACTTTCTTCAGGTAGGCAAATGCCATCAGGATGAATGAAAACAGCCTTCCACTCCTGGCTTTAGGAGGTGCTGCTGAAAGAAAAGGAAATGAGGCTGGAACATTCTTATTCCATGACAATTCTCAGCTGCCAGAATGGGCCCCAGGATCATGAGAGCTCAAAGTTAGTACATAACTACATTTGTTCCCCCTGTGGGGTGTGCAGTGTTCAGAGTAAAAATCTAGCACAGCAGTTTTCAACCTGTTCTGGGGAACCCTGAGATTCCATGAGAGGTCTTCAGGGGTTTTGCAAAGAGACTGGGGGGTAATGGTGGAATGGGTTGGGAGGCAATGCACTGCCTTTGCCAGGCTTCCTGATTCTGCCTCAGTCTTTAGGACAGGGGTAGGGGTTTTGCAGCAGAAGTAGTGAAATAAAAGGGTTCTATGACTTTGAGAAGCTTGAAAATCACTGATCTAGCAACAATTTAATCAAATTAAGTCTCTCTAAGCATTTGAATAAATGCTGTCTCTAAGCAGTTGCTCTCTAAGCAGTCTCTCTCTAAGCAGTTGCTATAAATATATATATTTTTTAAATGAACAAGATGCTTACATCTGCAGAGATAAAATCCCCTTAGGGTAACTGGATTGCTCACTATCATTATTTCTCTAAATTAAGTTTTGTATTTTCAATGAACACTTAATTTAATTTCAAACATGTTTTAATGATGCTGAACCACGAGTTTGTTCTGGGCCTGCCAATGACCTTAATATATGCAGGTGCCGGGCCTTTGTAGAACAAAAATCTTTTTTTTCCAAGTGCATTACTTGCTGAGGCTTAACTCTAGAAAGAATTTGCAGGTGAGAGATGTATGAATACAAGCAGTTTACAGTGGAGGCCAAAGATCAGAAATTGCAGGCAGAGTGTGAGTTCACACTCCTCTATAAATATTTTCCAATGTTAGTTATAAAATGATGAAATGCAGTTTATGGATGAAAGAGGGCATGTTCTATCTCAACAAAAGCAGTGGATTCTGAAAACAGGAGGACCTTTTAAGAAGAATCCCTTCAGTTCACAAAAGACTCTAAACAGCCATATGCTCAAATGTTGTTCTGTTCCTACCTCTACTGCTTCTAATGCACAGAGCTATTTCTTCAAAGACCTCCTGCTGCACACATAAAGGAAGATTTTGCCCTATGTTAGGGAGTACAATTAAGGCTTACAATTTTACTTGCTCTTAAACTGACACCTGATTAGGAATGCCTGAAAAACCACTATTTTTTTAAACTACCATTTTGATTCCATACATGAGGGGAAAATGCAGACAGTCAGTTTTGTAATTACAATATTTATTTAAAGTAAAACAATGCATTCAGTAGTGTTTATTTTAATGTCAAATGTACATAGGAATAAGCATAAGCTCATTTCAACCTCCCTGTATTCATACTTGTTGTTCTGGATGAATAATTTTAATGTATGAAATTCAGAGTACTGGAATTTTTATGTCACCAGAGAAAAGCTCTAAATGGGCAGCTGAAAGGCAAAAATCTCAAGCTTCTCCTGAACATAGCAAGTTCTTAAGGGTATTATTTTCATATTGGTTAGTACCTTTGGTTTTGAACAAAGATTTTAAATTGCACTAGGAAGAATTTTTGTGAGGCAGTAATAAGCAAGTTTTTTGTGGTAGGACAAGTAAGTCTTAATTATTGCTTTCTTGGATATGACAGCAGAGTGGATTCCTCTTCATCTTCACTACAAGGTAATTTACTTGATGCTCTGAAATCCTGTGGTATCAGACGTTCTACAAGGACATAGCAGCACTGACATCCAGGGCAGTTCTCTGGAGCATTATTTGTCTTCTTTAATCAAGTTTCTTTTGTAATCTGTTTTCTCTGTCGAGTCATACATGAATAACCTGAGGCTTGTTTGTGAAATTTACTGTTTTAACTCCTGCAAGCTGCAGAACTGTGTTAATGGGAGCATGATCCAACCTATTTTTGTCAAAGTGCAAAAAGTGGACTTCGCTACCTGGAACAGAGTAAGAATATAGCATTAGCTGAATAAAGTATTGCTTTCTTTTAAAGGCTAATGGGGTTGAGGAGGCAGTCTGATTGTCTACTGATTTTTCTAAATCTGCATTATGTGGATTCCACAACACATGATTTTTTAAACTACAGCAGCATAATGAGGGATCTGATTGCATTAGGACTGCACCTTGCTGTTTCTGAATATCTCATAGGAATGACTTTGTCAAGCTATGGTCTCCTTTCATGCTTCATTGCTTGATTACAGAATACATCAAATCAAATGCCTAGAATAAAAGGGAATAGACAGATACTTGGATGTCAGAAGACAAAAATGTGAATCCTTCTCTATTGACGTCAAAAGCTATATTCCTATCAATTTCCTTAGGAACAAGATAAGTCTCTATCCAGTCTTTATAAGAGGTAGAAATACATAATGGGCACGCCTACATGTGAATTAAGGTGCTTTTTCTAATGAGCATTTAATTTAGTACCTCTGATGTACCCACTAAATAAACGTGCATTAGGCTACCTTAAGGCACAGTAGTGAACGTGCATGGACTTTAAGTGACGTTTAATATGCAGTAGCCTATTTTACTGCTCATTAGCATTATTTCATGGTGTTTTACGTGACGCTTTGATGCACAGTAAAATAGGCTATTGCTCATTAAAGTGCATGTGTAGATGCATCCAATGACACTTGCACAGTGTTCATTTACACAACAGGACCACTCTATAAGCACAAGATTATTGTTTTTTTTCTTCGGAAACCTCTAGGGTGTAAAAGATCTCCTGGAAATATACAAGAAATCAGCTGAAGAAGATGAGACATTTTAATATAAAACAAGTAAGTTTACCTGGGCCTAAAATCAAAGTCCCACCCTGCTGAGCTGGATCTCCTTGCAAATCAAAAGCAGGGCTAGTCATTGCCCTCCATATACTCCTAATACTTCCTGACAGCAAGTTGGATTTCACATGAGGGCTTTGTGCTAAAATGTAAGAGAACAGCTTATGTTTTACCTAAACTGTTTTAAAAATAGATAATTTAATCAGTGTCACAAAGAAAAACAAACAGATGACAGCAAAGCATTATTACTTCGAGTTACACAAGGCTTTACAGCTGTAAAAACACATTAGAAGGCAAAACAACAAGCTGAAGTCACTATCATTAATGGTTTACAGTTTCCCTGACACTGTATAAGGGGATCTCGCCATTCTCAGAGAGTAGGCTACAATCTAAAATACAGCTTTTCATGGACAACTCCCCCCACCCCATTCACAATCCCCCCATATAACAACACATGACACCAAGGAATTCCTGCAGCCATTATCTGCAGGCAAAAAAGCAACATCGGGATAATATTTGTGAATATTTACCTTCTCTGAGATTAAACTGCTGAAAATCAGGAGACACCAGTCCTATGTGACTAGCCTGCTCCCTGAAATCACATCCTGCCTCCCCAAGATCAAAGTTTGAGAACAGGAATATGGAATTCAAGGATTTGGAATAAAGTTGTAGTAAATCCCCCAAATGATAGACATTTAAAATTACATACAATGTAGCAAAATTCCAGTTAACTTTTTAGTACTAGTTCACTGAGGTTTGTAATGCCCATATAATCAGTGGACAAGGTAGTGGTTCTCAACCTTTTTAGACTCCAAGCACCCCCTGCAGAATGCCAGCTTTAAGTTTTCATTGGGGTTTTTTTCCCACTACAGAAAAATAATAGATCAATTCTTCTATTGCAAAGAACTCAGAAAGACCACACTAGGTCAGAATGTTTTTTACACTGTGGATTCCTATTTGAAATGTCTAGGTTTATCTTATGAATTGTGTTTGCACACCTAACAGTGCTAGCATTGTGTAACATGACAGCACCTTGGTTGAGAATCACTGATTTAGTGTATCTTCATGCTCCACTGAAATCAAGAGCTGTTTCACTATTAACTTCAGTAAGAGCAGGATCAAGCTCCTTGTGAGTCATGAATCTCTTGCACCAACGGTGCTAAAGATGCTTTAAAATGATGTAGTAAAACAGTCTGTACTATCTGTACTACTGGACACTGTGAACATATTCCTTAATTGATTACTGTTATATCGGGCATTCTTAATGATATCTGCTTGTGAGAGAAATCAAAGCAACAATACTATTCCTACCTGATGAGGTGGCTGCTTCCCCTCTTTTCATGCCAAGTATTTTATAAAGCGCCAGGTCTGGATCTACATACATTTCATGGGGATACCTTGTCAAATTGCAAAAAGGCTGCAAAATACATATATGTATGCATAAACGATTATATTGAATTTGAGGTTTTGTAAAAATGGTGTGGTAAAACCCAGTACTGATTCTGGAACTTCTGAATTCACAAATCTAACCAATGGAAGGACCAAATTCTAATTTTTTTACTCAAACAAAACATATATTGAAAGCAAGGCCTTCTTTTTCAAGCAAAATGTCTGCAGGGTTGGAAGCTAAGATTTATCCTATACTGTGTTTATTATTGCTTCCTGAAAAGTAGTAAAGATCTGCTTTTTCAAATGTGATGAGCATCCATATCTCCAGTTGAAATCAATTAATATTACTGACTTTGAAAGCCAGGCCTCAATAGACTATGAACTTGTTACAGGCATAGTACAATATATTATCTTCACAATTTTTTTACCTTAATGTGATGGTAAGATGATTGTCCAATAACTATAAGCCTCACATTTGCATCCTAGGAAACAAGTACAGAATATACATATCAAAGCTATTAACAGGGATTGAATATTTATACTTATTTGCAATACATGAATAGAAATATGTGCATTCCAGTTCAACAAGTTGGGTATGCAAGACTCCAGGCTATTAATTCTGAAGATACTTAGGCACCAAGAATGTCTATTTCCTCATATGAAGATATGATATTAATTTATTAATGATTACATTTCTACTAATTTTTTAAAATGGTAACTCTAGGTCATTTTTTTTATAAGCTCTGATTGTAAACTTTATTTCGTGTAGCATCTGCAGGGTTGAAGTTTCAGCTGCTATCAAAGTTGCTTAAAAATTCACAAGTGCAAAAATTTGCACACAGCTGTCTGCACCCAAACAATCTGATATGCAAATACAGGTGCACACAAGTATTTGCCCAATTTACATGCCCATGTATACATATACAAAATGCACGTAGTGATGTGCGTATACATAAACAAAACACACAAAGCGATATGCACATTTTTGCAGGTGCAAAATAAGGGCTGTCGCTGAAATTGTGGCCAAGCATCGTAATTAATTTAGACTCTGCACTCAGTAATTTATTGAAATAATTTTTTTTCTGCAATTCAGGCTTATCTAAATACTATAGCACAATACTCCCACATCCACAATTTTAATAACTTAGCTGGCTGACAAAAGCCATTCCAAAGATGAATTGATGGTACCAGAAATAAGGAGGAAAGTAATTTTCTCTTATATTTTTTATCAGAGCAGATAGATTTAAAGAAAATAATCATATTGGGGATGACTAATTCATTGCATTAGCAAAACCCACTATCTGCTAGGGAAAATGCTCCCCGCTTCTGTTTAATAGCCCTTCTATTCCTGCACCTTCAAGAGCTGGTTGGTAATGAGAGCTTTGGCCTCTCTCAACCAGCAATATGCTGTACCTAGGAGGAAAATATGGCAACATTTCAAAGAGGAGGATAGAAGGAAGAAGGACAGTCCCTGCCTTGAAACGGGATGGTTCCTATTTGTTTAGAAGAAAGCAAAATACACAGTGTGACTATCAAGTGTAACACTGTATTGGATTTCCTTCCTAAGGCAGGCAGGATGAGGAACCGAACCAAATTGGGAAGGAACGAACTGAGTTCTGGGCTCCTAGTGATGCCTCCTGGGTTGACCTCAGGGATGTTACCAAATCTCACTCAAGGTATTAAGACCCTAATGTTCATGTCCCCTCAAACGCATTCAACCCCATGTTAAAGGCCTTTCACTTACTTGTAAAAAATCCTTGGGGATTTTTGCCAGATCTTCTACATACTCTTTACAGGCGTAGCATAAAAAATGCTGAAAAGGCAAACCAGGTAGAGACATCACAAGTCAACACGGTGAAGCAACACAGCTCTGCCTTCAGACAGCCAAGGTAAAAAACTTAAAAACTTTTGAACTGGAAGATCCTGTGAGTATCAGAGGCCCATTGCCAAGTTCAGCTCGGGATTCCAAAGTTGAAGGGGGCTGGAGCCCTGCTCAGACTTATTAATAGGAGAAGCAAAGAGGGCAGGGTGTCCGATCCGGTTTAAACCCTGAAATCCTCCCCCGATTCCCTTCGCATTTGAAATGCAGGCTCTCCTCCCCCCCCCCGAAGGAGGCTGCAATGCTGCTTCAGAAGACGCTTGGGACCTCCCCTGGCCCCCAAGTCTCGGGCCGCGCTCACCCGCACGAACACCACGATAGCCCGCCGGGCCCGGAACAGGGCCCCGAACCTCACGCGCCTGGCGTCTGCCCCCTGCACCAGGCACTGCGCCGCGGCCCGCAGCTCCGCCGGCTCCTCGGCCTCGGTCCCAGCCCCGGGCCCGACCCCGGCCTCGACCTGCCGCCGGACCGGGGCGGCCATGGCAGCCGGCGGAGGGAGGGAGGACACCGCTTGCAAGGGCCCGGCCCCCTCCGGGACCAGCTCCAGCAGCCGCCCGCTCGGTGCAAGTAAATGATGACCACCCCCCCTTTTCCCAATTCATTTTCACTTTTGCATTCCAAGTCCATGACCTTCAGCAGGCTTGGGCTTCTGGTGGCAATCCCAGCAAGTACAGAAGGGGGAGGCATAGGTAGGGTGTCCTGGTTTAGCTGGGACAGTCCCGGATTTCGGAGGCTGGTACCATGCAGCTGGTGATAATTAAAATGAGAGTCCTGGAAACACAGGCATGGGGCACAGCAGGGCCAGAAGGAAGAGCAGGGCAGAGCAGGACAATGTGTCAGACAGGCAAGCACCACTCTCTGGCACACCATGGTCAGCCTAGACATAGGTACCTTCCTATGTAATCATAGATAAGGGCCTTCTTACATGTTAATTTTGGGTTGCTTCTGGAGCCTGTAACCCATGGATTGTCCACACATTAACACCTGAAACTGGTTTCAAGTACTCAAAGTAGCTCAGATTGTTGCCACTCTAGGGCAGGATGATCTCTGATCCTTGATACCCAGCTCTTGTTACACTAAGGTGCAGCCACAGTAGGCTACATCTTCAGTATTGCCAACCTGACCATGCCAAAAAACATGAAATGAACTCTTAAAAAACCAAGAGATTAGCACGTAAATCATGAGATACTATTTTTGAAGTGTGTGTGTGTGTGTGTGTGTGTGGGGAATGTGTTATTTGTGAAAGTGTGGGGGGTTTGGAGCCCAGGGAGGGAAGCTCTCCACACACCCTGGCAGGATGCGGAGTATGATGCTGTGGGTTAGGAGTGAGAAGGAGCAGCAGGGCTGGGTGAGCTGTGGCTTGGGAGTGAGGAGCAGACAGACAGAGATACAGAAAGCACCTAGCTAGTAAGTGGAGGGGAAGGGGTAGGGGAGAGGGAAGGGAGTGGGATTGAGGACCCCGTGGTGAGGGAGGGAGTGGGGCAGGGGCTGAGGTGAATGGGACCCTGGGGCCAGGTCAGGTCATCTAGAGGTGCGGGGAGTAGGAGACCATGGCTCCCCTTAGCTGTGCACACCCCTAGGGGAGGCATGACGGGCATGTGCCCCCTGCCAGTGCTTTCTGCCTTTGGGTGGGCAGGAGACATGCCATGTGGCCAGCGCACCTGTGTCCCCTACCTGCCTGGCAGGTAGCAATGGCATTGTGCAGCTGAGCTCCCAGGGCAAAGGCAGCAGGGTGCAGAGCCCTGAGCCTGTAGCAGGCAGCCTGTCCCCCATGCCTCCCCTGGGGATGCACGCTGTTACAGGGAGTCACCCCTCCCCCCCCCGCACCTCTGAACAACCTGCCCCAGGGTCCCATTCACCCCAGCCCCTGCCCCACTCCCTCCCTCACTGCAGGGACCATGATCTCCCTCCCACCTTCCCTGTCCCCCCACCCCTTCCTCTCCACAGACTTATCAGCTAGGAAAATCCAGAGATCTGAGGGTTTGGTTGGGAGTTAACAAGTTGGAGTTACTTTGACTTAGAAATCCTCAGTTTTGTAATTGTTTTGCAACGCTTGACATTACTGCATCTTTGTGTAAACACCCCACATGCCCTCCCTTCCCTCGCTGGCCTGGATTGTGCCCGCTGCCCTCCCTTTCAACCCAGATCCCTGCTTACTGCCTCCACCTTATTTGTGGCTGCCTGTGCTGTCTGTCCTGGGGGAAGCAGGCAGGGAAGGGTTCAAGTGCTTACCTAGCAGCCCAGAGAAGAGCAACAGCCCAACAACTGTGGCAGGGACTGGGCAGGCAGGTTAACCTTTGCCTGCCTGCTGCCCTGGGGCAGGCCACATGGGCAGCCACAAGTAAGTGACGGGCATGGCAGGGAGCAGGGGAAAGCCCTGAATGGGAGGGGGGGTGGGATTTGTACCTTTCAGTCCTCCATTCCCCTTCTGGCTTGAAGCATGAACGGTGTTTGTGCGGCTTACAGCTGGCAAAGCCCTAAGAGTGATGCTGTAACTGTGATGGTCCAGAAATGATGCAAGAGGCAAGGATTTTGTAGGGCAAGATCTTTTATTGGACCAACTATGTAGCTGGGATAAAAAGTCAGACAAGCTTTCAAATTCAAGATAGCAAGGAGACCTGATTAAATACACCTTGCATGCCAAAGCTGGTCTAACTCTATCCCAGCTACATAGTTGGTCCAATAAAGGATCTCACCCTAAGTCTAAGTATAGACATTTGGGGAAGTTAAATTGGGTTCAAAATGGCCACCCAATTTAAATATAACGTGTCCTGGGGCTTACCTTACACTTACAGACCCAGTCTCAATGGCTGGCTGTCAGTTTAAACTGGTAACTATAGAATTTCCATGTGCACAAACTGGTCTAAATATTGTAGAACCTGTTTTAAGATAAACCTGGGTCTGTTTAGTATCAAACTTATTCAGTTTAGGTCACATCAGTGCATGGGACTTCTGTCCATTTTCCTTGTGCAGCTCTGGGGCTGGAAAAGTCAGCCAGTGGCCCAAGCCCTGAGGCTGGTCTTTTCACCTGCCGCCCAGCCCCTTGGCTCCCTCCTGCCCCTGACCAGACAGACCTCTCAACCCCCCAGTCCACAATCCACTCTGGGTGCACCCCACCTGTGAGTCATGCCTGTCCCTCCACTGGTTGCACCTCCTCCACCTGACCCATGGGTCACATCTGCTTCCCCACCCCTTGCAGGTCATGCCTGCCCACCCTCCCCACCTGTAGGTTGCACCTGCCCTCCACTCCTTGCAGAGGATGCACCTGCCCACTCTACCCCACCCGTGGGTTGTACCTGACCCCCTACTCCTTGCAGGTCACTCTTGCCCCACCATCCCTCATGAGCAGGGCTGTCCCTGGGGGGTGGGGCACAAATCGGGGCAACTGCCCTGGGCTCCGTGCTTTTTGGGGGGGGGTCCCATGGAGTGGGGCAGAGCAGCAGCGGTACAGAGTCGGGCAGAGCAGTGGCTTTGCGTCGAGCCACTTGCTACCCCCCACCCCCCTCACCGCCGATGCCACCGCCACCCCAGGCCCTGCACCTTGCTCGGGTCAGCTCTGCTCATGGGTCATGGCTGCCCCCTCATGCCACCCCTGGGTCGTGCCTGTCCTCCCATCCCACTTGCAGGTCACACCTACCCCCCCATCCCATGCGGGTCATGCCTCCCTCCACCCCTTGCGAGATGCAGCTGCCTTGCTTACCCCACCTGTGAGTTGCACATGCCCCCCCACCCCTCATGGGTCATGCCTCCCCGCTACCCCACCCGTAAGTTGTACCTGCTCCTCCATCCCACAGTGGACCCCTGATCCCTTCCAGCTTGCTGGACCACCAACCCCTTGCTAGCCCCCCATGCTGACTTACCTGCTATAAGGCAGCCTTTTTTAAAATTGATTTAATCTCCCTTGAATGTCTGTACTTAGCCAAAGAAATCCTTGCCTCTTACATATGCAATTGGCAGAAGAGAACGAAGGCAACAAACCAGACTGAAAAGGAGAAATGCCTTTAAGAGGAATAGAGTGATTTGAACAAATAGCATGCTATGTGAGGATTAGGTGAAACCCAAGCCCCACTCTGTTCACTCATTAAAAAATGAAAACGAAGAGAGAATGACATAAAGTAAAATAAAAGTTTTGCAAAGGAAAACACCTCAACCAAAAATTATCATCAGTATTATTTCCACATGGAAAATCAGTAAAGGGTTTCCAGAATTCATCCAATGTATAGCAACTGTACTTTGATGAAGAAACTTTTCTCAAACCTCACACCACCATAAAGGGCCAGATGGCTACATTCAAAATTGTGCCTCATTTTTTTCTACAGAACTATTATGGTACATATCTGTGGTGACTTGGCCCAATTTGACATCCCAGCTGGAGTATTAATCCAAGGCTGGTATACACCTTTTGCCAAAAAAGTTTTAGGGTAGCCAGGTTACATTAGGCCAGTTTATGCTACAGATCTTTTCCAGCATAACTATAAATAAATAAGTAAGTAAGTAAGTGTCAGGATGTGAAGTATGATCTCTAACCCATGCAGCTGTGCCATTAGAAGCCCTCAGTGTAAACCTAGCACCAAATCTGTTTGAACCAGTAGAGCTTATTTTTACTCATGGGGTAACATATTTTATTTTCACAGCTACAAAGTACAGTATACCTCTATTTGTACTAGTAACATTTTGCTGGTATAGCATACCAGTGTTCCTATATTGGTAAAGCACTCCTTATGTACGCAGTCTTGGAGAAATCTATTATTTTAGCCTTCTATCAGTTTGTCAAAAAGTATATTTTAAAAAGTCATGCTGCAATCTACTGCACTCTCTGAATGTACATGGTATGTGACCTTCATAGAGGATTTCTGAATATTGTGAAAAAAAAGTTTCACTGATGTTTGGAAGGACCTTGCTCCCATATTGTTCTCAGACCCGTAGATATCAAAACACTTTACAGGGGAAGGTAAGCACCTTAAATGAGGAGGCCCTATCCCTTAAATGGGGTTTCTAGTTGCTGCTGCAGTACAAAACCCCTAATTTCCATCCTTGGTTTTACAGATAGGAAAACAGAGGCACAGAAAAGCTAAATGTTGAGATTTTTGCCAAAAAGGGGGCAGCCACAATTAGTAGCTCCTTCTAAAAATTTAGCATCAGATCCTGGTTTGGCAAAAACATTCTAGATACATGCATAACTTAAAACATTGGTGCAGGTCCTGTTTGTTTCACTCGCAAAACAGAACAGAATCCAGATCAGCTGATGTCAGGCCAGTTCCCAATTTATTGTATCATGTCAGCTAGTGAAGAGAACTGGTCCATTAAAAACAATAAAGGATTTCAACATAGTTCTTTTTATTTTTATTTTGCTACCTTTCTTTACAGCTGTTAAATATAGTAATGTTAATAACACTAAAAAAGGGAAACTTGTTGTATTGATGTTCACTTTGCACTTGTAAAGGACATGGATAATTAGCACATTGAGGTCTGTGTTTGTATTTTCATTCCAGTGTA